CGCCCCGCAAGGGGAACCGGGTTCTGGGTAAGTACCGGTTGTGGATGGGCGCCCCCGGGAGAAACCCAAGGAGGAGGGAAAAAGATGGCCCCCCCCCCCCGCCAAGTAACAATAGAAAGCACAAGTATGGGAACCCCTTGTTGGCAAGAGGATTATAATGTATTCATTAGACTCATTAGGGGCTGAACTAGCAACACTTTTTCCTTAGTTAAATTGAATGACTGCCCATTTTTTACCAGTTTTTTAGAAGACCGCTGAACACATTTAGTAACGGTTCTAGCCACCTTCTAAAAGATGGGTATGCCAGGGTACAGGTTAGTCCTCGGCTTATGTCCATTTGTTCAGCAACTGTTCAAAGTTATGGTGGCACTGAAAAAAATGGACGAATGAACTGTCATTGAATACCAGCCACCGCAGCACCCCTGCGGTCATGTCATCACAATCTGGGCACTTCCCCCTGCCCCCCTTGCTCCTTACCAAGGACTACCTGTATATCAAGATCCCACATAATGCCCAAGTGCCACTTTTCAAAGCATGGGTCAGGTTCCGCAAAAGCAAGGTATGTGGTCTTTTCTGCAGCTCAAGCCAAAATGGCCACAAAGAGAGTGTTCGGTGGTCAGAGGGGAGGGCCATGCCACAGCTGCCTCAACCAGCCAGTACAAGTTTGGAAGATTGCAGCCCCTGACCACGTCATCACCAAGATCATGAAGGAGGCAGTGTAGATTATTCATATACTTAGCATTGGAGGAGGATAGAAAACCCTCCTTTAAAATTGGAGTAGCTGAGGACAAGTTATGTGTCCCTCTGTGGTTGGCTGGGAATGAGACTAAAGTTCTCATTTTTTATCTCATCATTAATGAGAATAAAGTTCTCATATATCATAAATAAAGACTAAAGTTGCCTCATGAAGGTGTCCCCTAAAAATGGTTAGTCAGGTGTCTCTGTGCTGTGGTTAGCATGATGTGAGGAAGAGCCCTGATTTGTAAAACCATCTTGAATATGTTCTTGCCATGGTCCGTTGTTGCCTTGACTTCAGGGGTCTGCTCTGTATCTCATGTGTGTTTTGAAGCTGCTGAAATGTTCTTTTCTCCCAAATTTTCTTACACGCTCCCCAGCTCTGGCTAGTTAGGAGATTGATTCCCTGCTGTGGAAGACCATGTCTTAACTTCTCGGATGCTTTCTTTTTCTCTGCGGCCCAGAGCCATGCCTGCTGGTGTCAGTTGGCCTCGATACTTGAAAGTCTTTACTGCAACCTTCTTGACCATGCTTGCTGGTGCAGAAACCGTCCACAGATATTATAAGCCTGATCTTGTAAGTGGCCTTTCTCCCTTTGTTCATTGCTGTCTTGTCTTCTGCTTCAGAAAGAGATCCTTATAGAAGCAACATGCTTTAAGGCAGTGTTTCTCAACCTTGGCAGCTTTCAGATGTGTGGACTCCAACTCCCAGAATTCCCCAGCTGGGAATTCTGGGAGTTGGGAGTCTACACATCTGAAAGCTGCCAAGGTTGAGAAACACTGCTATAGGGGTCTGCTTCTGTAGGGGTCTGTTATCCTCTTCTCCCCAGGACTTGCTCCAGATTTTTAAAAAATTCAAATGTAAAAAATGAACACACATTTACTCAGAACTTGAAAATGTGTCCTGTCATTTAACTGAAGTTACTTCTGAGTTGGTGATAATGTATGTATCTCGCTTTTCCTCTGGAAGGTCAAAGTGGCACCACGAGACTGCCATCATTTTATCCGCACAACAACCCTGTGAGGCAGTTGGTTTGGGGAGGGGAAACTGTCTTAAGCACTAGACTTGGCATATATGGTTCTGAAATCTAGAAGACCACTAGATAGGGAGAAAGAGGTATAAAAAATAGTGGCTGTCTGGATTGTTTCAATTCAGATATAGGCAGCTTATTGAAGATGCCCAGTGTGCTCCATTTTCTTTAAGTATCTGGCGCACCAAAAATCTGAACATGTTTAAGGGGCCACAGTTATTATAATTATCACTTTTAGTTCAAGTTGCCTTTGGGAGCTAGTCTGAGAATGAATAATCTATCTGTAAGAGTTTCTAGTAAGAGTACTAAATATAAACTGCAATCTTAAAATGTGTGAACTGACATGGACATTTGATGGATGTGTTTTTGGATATTGTTTGTTTGTAGACACCAGATATTCCTCCGAAAGCTGGGGAGCTCAGCACAGAGATGTTGGGTCTAAAAACTACGAACGAGCAAGTTCAGCCTTTACAACCACGGCCATAAAAAAATGTTGCATCCCTCCATAAACTGTTCCTTACTAGGATTTATAATCCAGATCTATACAAATGGACAATCATGACTATTTAAAAGGACTTATTTTATACCTGTGTCCACTAAGAGTCCAAATACTGCCTCTTCTACAGCCTGCTCCTTTTGTCCACTACAAGGGCAACCTCCTGCTCAGCCATTGCGTTTGTTTCCATGACCACCAGCAATGCTTACTTCACTACAGTTCTCAGAGTGTGGCAAATCTCCATTTTTTTCCCTTTTCTTAAAAAGTTCTTCAGCCAGGTATATTGTGCTGCAGAGAATGCTGGGATGCCTCTTTATATAATTAGTACAATTACCATTCAAAAAAGAAACTGTTCGGAAACATGCTTCGCTATAGGCCAATTAAACAAGGTATCCTGTTGAAGATAGGTTTAGCCTCTGATACTACTGTACTGTGATAGTTTTCTGCAAAGCAAGGATCCTGTGTCTGTCATACGGTAACTACGCAATTTCATTTCAGTGGATGGATTTGTTCAAGATGACTTTGAACAATCAACTTCTCATATTAAATACAATGTCTAAATATAGTTGTTTATCTAAATGTTAATTCATTTCCAGGCATCATTTATGGTCCGTGATTTATGACCTAGTATTCTTTTTCTGGCTGGAAATTACAGGAACTGTAGTCAGCACGCTTGGGGGGCACTAGGCTGGAGAAAGCCGGTGTATGTACAGTGGAACCTCGGGTTACGAACGCCTCTGTTAACGAACGTTTCGGGTTACGACCAGCTCCGGCCGCAAAAATTTACCTGAGTTTGCGAACAGGATACGCGGCCATTTTCCCTCCCGTGACACGGTCCGTGGCCATTTTCTGCCTGACACGTGGTCCGCGGCCATTTTTCCGCCCAACACGTGGTCCGCGGCCATTTTCTGCCCAACACGTGGTCCGTGGCCATTCTCTGCCCGACGTGGTCCACGGCCATTTTTCCGCCCCTGACACGGGGCCGAGGGGAGGGGGCCTCTCCCTCCAAGCAATAACCGCCTCCCTGTCCTCCACGCCAGAACAGATTAACGGTAATTACATTGAACCTTATGGGGAAATTTCCTTCGGGGTGTGACCAGAGTCATGGAACGAATTAAATTCGTAACCCGAGGTTCCACTGTACTTCAAAGATTTGATTCAGAGTATGTGCATTAAGTGCAAAAGGCCACTGACTCTTCAGTCTATTCAAAAATACACAATACAGTACGTATAATTGACAGCATTTTATTGTAAAGGTATGACTCAATTTTCTGTGTATTTGCATTGTAGTTATTAGAACTTCTTAGAAGACAATTACACCTACCCTTGAATATGTGCAGCAAGCAGTCTCTTGAACTGTGTAAGTAAGGAGGACCTTGACGGGGCAACTGAAAAGATCACCATTTGTACATTCTTCATATACATGTTTACTCCAATGTCTAATAGCAATTCTATGAATATAACATATCTTGAACTAAATATGGCAATCCACCCAGTTCATACTTTCTAGCTACATACAGTGATCAATACAACACTTTTACATCTTTCTGTATTTAATGAGAATGACTGCTAGAAAGTGCATGTGTTCTCACCTGCAATTGCAGAAAAGTATTATGGAGTAGTCCTGCTGTTATTTGCAACAGATATACACTAAACATGCAATCTAGAATGAGGCCTTTAGGTTTCCATTGCTTAGAAATTAGTATTATTTCTTCTTTAGTCCATTAATATTTGGATTTCACATCTGAGCAAGATCCTCCAAGTATTAAACTTGGGTCTAAATATGTTTGTATTAAAAACAGGGAAAACAAACCAGTTTAAAATCAGAAACTACAGAATTTAGAAATGAAATTCAAACATTTACTCGATAGAACTTCAGCAACTCCTTGTATTAACACTGTTCAAATTGTCAAGTTTTATTTCTTTTTAAGCCAACTCAGATTATCTTCCATCCATTCACAGAAAAGCATTGAACAAGATAACAGAAACACCAACTACAATAAAGTAAAACTTAAGTTATTGTTTATGAGGAAGCATGAGAATGGGTATAGAACATGCCTTATGGCATGCAGTAGCTTCAATAGTACTCTTCTGCAAATGTGCATACAGTTGCTGTTTTCCTCATTGTCTTATGCTTCTTTTTCAAGATTACTTTCTATTTCTCCCACTTATTTCACTTTAAACATCAAATTTGTGAAGTTTGGCTGATAGTGTAATTGGCCTAAAATTACCCAATCTTCATGGTAAAGGTCTGTCAGAACCCAGATCCATCTAGCTCTCAGAATATAATAGATGCAATCAGCAAGATGAGCTAAAAGCTCCACTGCATATAAAAACCAATACATGCTTCTTGTTCAAAAATACATGCTGACCAGCTTGAGAAACATGAGTTGAATTTTTGAGAATGGCTTAATTTGCCTTAAAGCTTCACTGCAGGGTAACAATAATGCCCCCTTCCCTCCAGCAAAATGTAGCCTTCTGTCACCATGAAGGGAGTATGTAACAATGGTTCACAAGATAAAGCTTAATGCTGTTTTACTAAATCCAAGGCATTTAAGATTTGTTCAGAGGAAGCTAGGATGTATTACTGCAAAAAGTAAAGACCTTTTAAACTCTAGCAAACTAGCTTGAAAAACAAAAAAGATTCCATTAAGCAGAAGCCTGTTTAACAGGCCAAGGCTCTGGTAGACATTTTAGTAGAATAGGACATAAATAATTGAAAGTTAGCAGCTCTAAAGTGGCCTTCAGAAAATAACTCCTGTCCTGAGTGTTTTCTTTTCCAATGTTTCTTCTGTTACAGAAGAATGTGACTAGCAAATTGAGTCTGTACAAGTTTTGTTTACATCCAATGCAAGTAAATAAGCACTTCAATGCCCCATACAGCAACTGGTGTGAACATTTTAATTTTGTACACATGACAAGATTTTACACCAAGCAGTCAGTTAAATAGTACAAATTTACATTGTGAGGAATGTTTAAAAAATGCAACTTAAAAAAATTCTTCTGCCCAAAACCCTAAGCCTCCCCCCAACATTTTACAGTGAAAAAACAAATTCAGTTCACATTCCTGCTTCATCCAAAATACAGGATAATATTTAGAGTGCATTTTACAATTCATCTTTTACATCTGTAGACTCCTGCAAGAAACAAAACAGATTAAATGTTGCAGATGTGCAGAATCCCCAATAAATCACCACTTTTAGATATCTTAACTTTCCATTTTTATTTTATATTATTTACTCTAAACTGCTAGAGCAAGAGGTGCATTTGAACTTAATGGATGCACTTGAATAAAGTCTGTTTGCACAGCATGGTTTAAATGACAGATACATCCTGCCTATTCCCACTGTGTCTTCTCACAAGAGACAGGAGTGTTACAGCTTCCAAGTTTGGGGGGGGGGAGGGTGTCAGCAGATTCAGTAAGTGCAAGCTTATTATGAATCTGCTAAAGAGATTAGCCATACTTGGTTCTAAAACCAAGCCCTGAATGGTAGTGCTGGTGGTAAATACTGTAATGCTTATATCCCAAACTTGCATGAGAAGTAAACTACAGGTAGAAAAGGTGGTACCTTATGATACATCTTAATCTCCCCTCTCTCTCCCCCAGCCTCAACTCTCCCTAACCACACTGACCTTTTTCTCTGTTTCACTGTCTTCAGTATCTTCATCAGCTTCAACTTCCTCTTCTGGTTCTACCTCTTCAGCAGCTTCTTCTGGTTCTTCAGGCTCATCTTCCACCTTTCAGAAATATTTTTTAGCAAACCAAAGCTTTATACACCATTATATATCACATGACTGTGGGCCTCCCATCAATATGAAGTGTAACAGTTTCAGATATTATGTGCAATGGGGGACTGCTAATTAAAACTTCGAGAGATTGATTTGCAGTTATGAAGGGCTTACAAGTAGTCCTTGATTTACAACCATTCGTTTAATGACTGAAGTTACGACAGTGCTGGAAAAAGTGACTTATGACTGGTCCTCATACTTATGACCATCACAGCATCCCCACGGTCATGTCATCAAAATTCAGCATCTAGCAACCAGCATGTATCTATGATGGCTGCAGCATTCTGGGGTCACATGATCACCATTTGCAACCTTCCCAGCCAGCTTTCACAACAAGCAAAACCATGGGGGAAGCTGGATTAGCTTAATGGCTGTGTGATTAGTTTAATGACTGTGGCAAAAAAAGGTCTAAAATGGGGTATGATTTACTTAACCACATTGCTTAGCGACAGAAGTTCCGGTCCCAAGTGTGGTCATAAGCCAAGGACTACCTATATTCTGGTATCAAGTCCAAGCACCGGTTCAAGTGAACTTTGACGATTCCTCTACAGAAATAAAGCTTGTATCTTCCTAATCTCATATAGGTAGTCCTCAGGTTACAACAGCGAGACCAGAATTTCTGTCACTAAGTTTTGCGGTCATAAAGTGAGATGTCACATGACCACATTCCTTAGTGACGGCAATCCAGGCAGTCCCGGTTGTTGTTGTAACCCCAGGACTGTGCAACTCATTAAATGAGGACCTCATGTGACCACGACATGGAAAGAGGCAGCAGTCCCAGGCAAGCAGGCCATGTGTGTACTGTGGGTGGGTGCTATGCAGCACAAGCAGGCGGGCGGGTAAAAAAGCAGCAGGACTGACTTGTGGCCACCTGCTGATTTCCACATTGACTTTGCTTGCAGGAAGCCAGCAGAGGAGGTTACAAATGGTGATCACATGACCACGGGGTGCTGCAACTGTCATAATTGCAAACCAGTTGCCAAGCGCCCAAATCACAATCACATGACTACGGGGACACTGCAATGGCCACAATTTCACAGACAGGTTGCAAGTCCTCCTTGTTCAACGCAGCCATAACTTTGAATGGTCGCTGAACAAGTGGTCGTAACCTGAGGACTACTTGTATTTCCTGCTGAATTTTTAACAAGCCAAATGTTGTGCTAAAGTAATTATAGCAAGACTGAATGGGTTCTTCAAGTAAAAGAGAATAAGAATGACAAGTAGACAAAATTCTGAATCACAAGTGTCAACCCAGAATATTAAGGAAAATGGTCCAAGAGTTATTCTGGCATTTTCAACTCAAAATTTAAGTCATAAGAAAATTCTACTTCTTGCACACATAGCACTGATATTCACTAACCTTTTCCTCTGGGTCAATGTTCAAACTCAGGCGAAGCATTCTTTCTATCCTATCTCCATATTCTTTTGTATCTGGGAGCAGATACCCTGATCTTAGGGTAGCAGTTTCAAATAGAACCACAGCAAGATCTGCAACTGTTTGATCATCTTCATTTTCCTGATCAAAAACAACACAGGAATTGTATCAAGTCTCACAGGCTGCAGTGATGAATTACTTTCTGCATCCCTCATTTAAAATTTTAGAAGTACAAAACTGAATTATAGATTCATTTGTAACTTTCAACATTCTTACCTGAACACGCCTGAGCATGTCTTTTATGAGAGGATGTCTAGGATTAATTTCAAATGTCTTCTTTTGGCTTGCATAGTAACTAAAAGAAGATAATTTTAAGGGCAATTAGATACATTCTATCATATTACGTTACAAATTCTAAAAATAAACTAAGCAGTGTTACTTAAAGCTGTTATACTAAACCAAGGAAAGACCATGCGAATGGCAAATCAGTGATTTCAATACAGAATTGCAGCTGATAGAAAGACAAAGAATTGTTTGGTGCATTTCCATGTCAAGTCTAGCTATGTTAAATGAGAACACACAAAGTATGCAAACATTCAGATTACACTGTTTCATCATTTACCTAAAGACACAGCAGACTGAACTCCTTATCCCCAGTTTTTCCCTAGGAAAATTTTTAGTGCAGATTGGGGAGGAAGAGGACAGGAGGAGAGATGGCTTGTTGAAATATAAAGAATTGGGAATCCTCATTGTTCTGCTCACATGCAGTTAAATAGCATTCATTATCTATTTTGCAAACCTTTGTTAATTAAGACACAAGTAGCCAAATTCCTATATCGTGTTAAGTCAAAATAAAATAAATTACATTAGGGACCAAATGAGGCCCAGTAATAATTGTGTATATAATTATATATTACTTTGTAGAGATATCTTTCCCAGTCTGGTAAGCCTGAGCCTTCATGATTCTTTCCATGTTGCCAGACCATCCATATTGACTAGCTACAAGAGCACATGGCGACTGGGTTAATCGCTGAGATAATACTGCTTTTTCAATCTAAACAGAAAGAAAAAGTAATGTAAGTGCAAATAAGCACAAAACACATTTTTGGAAGAATACCAAATTCTAAAATACATACTTTATCCTTTAAAGCTTTGTCTTTCATCCAAGTTAGTAGGGGTTCATACTCTTTTTCTAAAGCCTCACGAGTTTCCTTTGACTTTTCACTTTCATCAAACTTCACTCCTTCTTTAGCAACATTTTGAAACCTTTTGTTATCAAACTCTGGGAGAGCCTGAATGCAATATTCATCCACTGGTTCTGTCAAATATATTACTTCATAACCCTTCTTCAGAAGCCGTTCCACAAATGGTGAAGATTCAGCCTACAAGATAAATTCAAAACATTAGTATGATGTACTCCTATAAAATTCTAAGTGGAAGCAAATAATGCATTTACCATTACAAATCATATTTATCCATCATCAACAAGACACCACTAATTTTGTAAACAAAGTTAACTGCTATGTTCCTAGGTAAGAGTTAAGTGCTTAAAATAATTGATAATTACTTTTTACCTCTTTTCTACTTGAACCAGCCATGAAATAGATTTTGTCTTGCTTCTCTTTCATTCTTTCTACATACTGATCTAGACTAGTAAGGTTGCTTTCATTGTGAGAAGACTGGAAACGAAGAAGTTTAGCTAGGCGAGTCCGATTTGAATGATCTTCAATCACTCCAAGTTTGATATTTGTGCCAAATTCTTTCCAGAATGTGTCATTGTATTTTTCCTCAGCAATCTTTTTGATCATATCAAGTGTCTTCCGGACAAGTTTCTTTCTGATTACCTAAAAATTCAGAAAAAGATACAGTAAGAAAACTTGAAGTTGATTAATCTTTTGATCACCATAGTTTAAATGAACAGCGTTTTCCAACCTGGGCAACTTCCAGATATACAGACTTCAATTCATGGTATATCCAAACTAACAGGACCACTGCTGAGAATTCTAGGAGTTGAAATCCACATATCTGGAAATTCCCTTTGGTGGGAAACACTGCAATTAAAACCATGTAACTTGTTGAGCTTAATTTCTATGTCATTATGTTGGTTCCTATGCACATTCATCCTCCTGTTACACGAGCCTTTAATATCTCTACCCAGCTACCAGAAGAGTCTACATTCCCATGGCTATCAAGGTGAGAGTGGGAAGAGATGACGCATACATCATGATGGTATTATGCAAATGACACAACTTACACATGTGTTAGATGATATGACATCATTACTCAACTGCACTGTTTGTACTGATCATGAGTTTTCATTTTGATGTCATCTAAGCTTGTTATGAACACTGTTGCACACTCCCTTCTGAAACTAGTAACTGAGAGTAAGACGATTCTCATCTTGTTCTTTGGTGAGACAAGTTTATATATAAAAGAACATCCTTTCTAGTACCATATGGTCTTTTAGCATTGTTGTTCTTTAACCCATGCATGAAGTAACTGAATCCACTAGCAAGGATTAGATGCTAATGGGGCTTGGAAGGACCTCACTACCACTCTTGGGACCACCTGTGCTGAGCAGGTAGGAGGTAGAGAGTGAAGGCTCCTGTGTAAAACAGGTCTAGAAGTTGCTTAATTTTAACTAGTATTCAGGGCAACAGTAGCAATTAACATACCTTTAGCAGTTTGTGTTGCTGAAGAGTCTCACGAGATACATTTAAAGGAAGATCATCTGAATCTACCTAAATTTAGAAAAGGAACATTTACAGAGGCTTAGCAAAGAATTAAAATGATACATTTCTTAAGTGGCTAGTGCACACTATCCCTGAATATACTTACAACACCCTTGACAAAGTTAAGATATTTGGGCATCATATCATGGAAGTCATCTGTGATGAATACTCTACGGACATACAGCTGCAAAACAAAATTGTAATTGTGTTTACTTTTGCAAGATTAGATCTGCAACATCTCTGGCTTTTTGAAGAGTTAATATCTTATTTTTACCTTTATAAAGTCACTTTTTTTGGATCCATATTCATCAAATAAGCCACGTGGAGCAGTACTGGGAACAAATAAGATGGACTTGAATGTCACTTCTCCTTCAGCAGTAAAGTGAATGTAAGTCATTGGATCATCAGTTTCCTGGAAAAAAAACAAACCCTAAAGTCCTCACTTCTGCAAAGGTGGAGAATGAATATATCACAAATGTAAGAAGTGGATATTTCACTCATTTCAGCCAAAATATGCAGGGAGTGGATTTTTGCTGCTGTTGTTCCATATATAAGGAATAAATTAGGAGTAGAGGACAGCATGCTGATTTTAAAGGCAGCTCAGAACAGGTCTATTCATATTTGCTCCAACTCTTCTCCCCATACCTGGTACTGCTATGGATGTTAATAGACATGACCTTAATTTAGTCCCAAGCTAAAAAGGTAAACCCACCTTAGAAAATGTTTTGTAGAAAGCTTTGTATTCATCTTCTTCCACTTCTTTAGATGGCCTCTGCCAAATTGGTTTTATGTCATTCATAAGCTCCCAGTCCCAGACTGTTTTCTCAACCTGTAAGCATTTCCAAAGTAATTCATTTACACTCGCTATGATATTCATGTTCTGCTGTCATTTTGGACAGACTGATTTGAAAAATCTAGCTGGAAGCTGTAATGTTAAAATTTATTTGCTTGAACAATTTTAAATGTTTAGAAATCTTGCCTGTTTAGTTTTAGGTTTTTTCTCCTCCTCCTCCTCCTCCACAGCAGCTTCATCATCTGTCTCATCTTTGTCTTTTATTTCTTCATCTTCAAGAGGCTCTTCTACAGTCTCAGTCTACAAAAATATTTCACATTAACTCAAGTAATTTTTCAGACAAATATTTCTTATGAGCAATTAGGATACAGAACTATCAAAGTAGCAAAGTAATTTAAATTTATCTTACTGTATTTTAAGCAAGCATAGTCACAAACACTGAACAGATATTCCACCTGAGTGCCGTGTCAACTCAGCATTTGAGACTGATATAGGTTTTTATATAGTATTTACTAGACTAACAGTGCTACATCCTTTATCTTCATGAAATCATCACAAATTTCTTAACACTAGGCTGATAACTGACTGGCACTGCTATAAAATGCATCTAAGAATAACAGTTGTATAAGCATGGCTTTATCAAGCAGGAATATGATTTCAGGTTCCAGTCTACTAAGCATATTTCATATTTTAGATTATGAAAAATTCTTACACATTGCTCTGAGATCTCATTCACTTAACTACAGCCCCGTTTTTTCAGGTCAAACTTGCCTGACTAGTTTTTCCTTGTATTTAAGTAATGGAGAACAATCTACTCTTAAAAAGTTTTGTCTCTGCAAGCTAATTTTTGCTACTGATCTATCTTCTTTAAAGTTATACAAATTAGTGGTATCATAAAATATGTACCTTGCTACTCCATACAAAAATAGGGAAGTTTATGAACTGGGAGTACTTCTTGACCAGGTTTTTAACTGTATCTAGTTCAAGATAGTCTGAAGCTTCTTCTTTTAAAACAAGGCTAAAAACAAAAAACAAAAAATCCAAGCAATTCAGTCCTGTATTAACTCAAAACAATTTTGGAAATTGAACTTTTAACCTTACAAACAAGTTACTGAAACTAGAATAAAAAGAAAAATGCTACAATACAAATTATCTTTCACATGGAACTGATAAGTTCTACCACCATGCTAAGATATTTCAAACAAAGAAAGCTCTGACATTTCATATACTGTTTGTTCCTTTTATCAAAAGTAATTTCATTTGGTGACGGTAGTACTAGCTTCTTTTGTGATAATTTGATATAGATAATAGTGTATTTGCTGTGCCTAATGAGAGAGCATACAACATTGTACGCCAAGAAGTTCCATTTCATCAGGGAAATTCAGGGTTTTAAAAAACAACTGCTAACCTACTTTTGGTCACAATCAAATCCTTCCTCCCCATGGAAGATAATGAATACATGATGGTTCAAGAAATGCACTAAACTACAAGAAAAAGTAGTTAAATTCAAAGCCTCCTATACAGAATGTTCTGCAGCAAGCTGCTCTTTATTACTAAATCTACTACATATAAGATAAAGACTCTAGCTTGAGCCTGCGAAAAAAGAACTACTCACCAGAACTAAAGTTTAAAATGGAAGGCAAGATAGTTGAGATTTTATGTGCAATTTTCTGTCAGAAGTACCTTGTAACTCTTGTGTTAAAAAAATCCAATTTTTTCAGAGACTAACATTTATCTAGTTAAACTCGTATGTAATTACAAAATTAGTTTATATAAAATTGATACCTTCATAGATTAAAAAAATAATTTGCCGCTTATCAGTCAAAGGAAATAGCAAACATCATTGTACTGCACCATATAAAATAAATGTGATATTGTGGTACTAGAGACAACTGTAGTAGATAGAGCTAGAAATATCACCCTAGTTGAGGGTTCTTTAACATCAATTTTAAGTATTAAGAAGCACTGAACCTTTGGTTAGAAACTTCTGTACCTTTTTCTGCATGTTTCATCAATATGCATTTCATTCAATAAAAGCCAAAGATGCACTTTCATTAATACCAAAAAATATTAATAAAACTTGTAAAACTTACGTTATAGTAGTACCTCGTCCCAAAGTATCACCCCGAGGATCTTCAATTACAGAGAACTCATTTGAGTCAGATTCCCAGATGTGTTGACTCTCATTATTATGCTTTGAGGTAACAATAACCTTGTCTGCCACAAGGAAGGCAGAATAGAAGCCAACACCAAACTGACCAATCAATTCAGAAGTTGACTGGTTCTCTTCCTGCATTTCAGTTATCTTATTTAGAAATTCACTTGTACCAGATTTGGCAATGGTACCCAAATTTTTGATTAGCTCATCTTTGGTCATGCCAATTCCAGTGTCTATAACATGAAGCATATTCTTCTCTTTATCACACTGTAAAACAAAAATAACTGGTTGGATATGAATTTTAACACTTTAATAAACAGCCATCAATTTAAGAGGCATCAATTTTAATAAATAATGCTGCACTATATGCTAAAGTTGTATTCTATAATGAACCACTATGATAGGCCTCTATCCTAAAGAAGCTGATATAGGATAATCAGAAGAAAAAAAAGGAAGTCTGTTAAATGAATGATGCACCTATCCTTTCCTGCTGTCAATCCCTTCCAAAATGTGAAATTTACATTTGACAAGTAATTGTTTTAACTACTCCACATCACACAAAAGACATTTTAAAAGTAACAATAGAAATTAAAACACATTTTAAAAAGAAACAGATTCATTAAAAGAAATCAGAAGCATCTTACCTTAATTTTTATTGTGAGTTCCTCATTACCAGAAAGAACATTTTCATCAGTCAATGACATCAACCGTATTTTGTCTAAGGCATCAGATGCATTTGAAATCAATTCCCTAAGGAAAATCTGCAGGAAATTTTAGAACAGAGTACAGTAGTCAGACACATAAAGAAACATTTGTACCAAAACTTTTCAGAAATGGATGTAAGGCTTACCTCTTTATTTTTATAAAGTGAGTTGATAATAAGCTTCATCATTCTGTTTACTTCAGCCTGGAATGCAAACTTTTCTGATTTTTCCCTAATTTGTTTTATTTGGGATGCATTTAAACCATCCAACTGAATAGATTCCTCCTCCCTGAAGAGAACAAAAATCCATTCATGTATTAATTCTTTATTTTTAAAAAATACTGGCAAGATAAGAATTTGTTTTACACTCATAAGTTATGTTTTTTTGCTGCAACTCCAGGTGACATCAAATACTAATCTGCAGAAGCAAGGATACCCCTGCTGCATGTGAAGCTTGCCTTCTCTTTAAACTAAAACTCTGGGTCCGTAAAATGTAAGACTAACTCCCTCCCCTTTTTTTCTCCTAGTAATGTTTTGGATATTCTACATACAGTACTCTATTCAGCCTTTTGGGTAGCTAAGATACTATAACTACTATGAACAACTGCAGCAGGACAGAGCATTCTGTTTTACAATTAACTCCCAAGGAGCTATTTCAGCAATTGTATTATCTCTACTGCTAAGTTATAACAAATCATCTTATGCAGTTTCCTAATAATTGGAAATTCATTAAGATAGTACAGGCAGTAGAAAAAGCACATTAGAATCCTTCTTGATGAATTGGCCAAATTAGTGAGAAAGATAATAGAGAAATATTTATCTTTCATTATCAACAAGGAACAATTGCCTTCTTGGAGGCAAATTATTCAAGTATCAAAATCCTGCTTTTTGGCCAAGAATTTGGTTGCACAAAGATATTCTTCACATAATCAGCAGCTGTCCAAGCACAGAATGAAACTGTTCCGATAATACCAAAACTATTATGTGCCTGTCTGTAATACTACACAAAGACCAAAACCATAGTATCAATTTTCATCATTGCATCAATTTCACCTACATCTCTTGTCCATCTTTTCTTGCACCTTGCAAGAATTTCAAGGAGGAGTTCTGTTTCATTTCTCAAACTTTAATTCTTTCGTAGTGCACTTTGGATGCAACTATATAAATTGATCATTTGGTTTTCATACAAGCTTTTCTGTATTAAATATACACAGAACACTACAGGAGCCAACCTTCTTTTGGAAAATGAAATATGTTCCTTTGCTGAAAGCTTCAGTTTAATAATAGTTGATTTAACAAAGCACCTACACTCCCAATTACATTATGACCTACAGAAACATTTACAAGTTGTTTCATAACTTTGAGAACAATTACAGTCCAGTTTTTCAAGCTCGATGAAAAACTGGCAAACATTCTCCTACAAGATTTCACCAGCATTAGAATATTAATATAAGTCACAAATATCCCTTTGTTCCTATAGATCAAAGCATTAGACCCCAATGGCAGTCATCCTTATTTGGAGGTGTGTCTCATTTAAGTCAATGAGTCAGGCATGTGTTTGAAATATGAATTATAAATCCTAATTTAAGCAGACATTTTGAAAAGCAAACCTCTGAACAACTTCATCATCTGTCCGAGATCCTTCTCTGCTTTTACCCAAGTCATCTTCGACAGTGCCATCCACATCAAGTTCATCAGCCTGGGCAGAGGCTGCAAAAATGATAATTTGGACAAGTTAGCTCTACACCAGTCATTCAAGGCAAAACTGCTAATCCATGCATAAAAACAGCATGGAGGATCTCAAGGATCTGCTTAAACAAGAAACTCTGAAAAGTAGGAACTGGTGCAGTTCACTTCTCCCATCAGAAAGCCACTGAAATTAGAGTGGGGAGCCAGCAGTGGCATTTAGAGGGTCATGGACATGGGACTCCTACCCGTTCAATAGAAAGCAATCTTTCACAGCAGACACCATCACGGAGAGAGAGCGAAATCAGTGTGAAAACCCATGGGAAGATTAGCATGCTTTCAAGCTCATGGCGAATTAGGCTACAAGCAAGTAGACTTTAAACAGTACTCCCAGGAGAGATGCTAAAATCCATCCCTTTACTTAGCACAATAAAGGACGGGAAGAGTGAATACCGCATCATGTACCAAATTGGATTTAAACAGATCCAGCCAGCATAAACCAATATCCTAACCGAACACCACCGTCCCTTCCTGCGACCACTTTTGCGTAAACTAACTCTTAAAATCTCCGGCCCGGCTCCGACGAACGGAAAGCAGCCTTGCTGGGCTTGGAAAGTTACAGCGCTCTAACGCTCTACCTGCCCCATAAGTTCAAAGGACCTTTTCCAATGCCCTTCCAGGAGCCTCTTCCTCAAGCCGCTGGCCCGTTCCTCAGGCAGCAAAGCCCCCAGAGCCTACGCTCCCAACCCCGACGGGCAGCGCCTCGTTTCACCAAGAAAACGCTACATCCTACAAGCCGGGAACAAATCCTCAGAAGGACGACTCTGAGGTGTCACAGAGCTACAGGGCTCCCTGGGGCTGGAGGCGCTTCAGTTTTACAATCCCCTCCCCCATTTTAAGTTCCATCTTGCCCCACAAGAAAAGAGGCAGGAAGGGAAAATACCAGACCCCCCCTCCCACTATGGAAACCAAGGCCGTCACGCCAAGACCCATACAAGAGCGACGGGAGAATCAGCTGAGGTAAAAAGTTGAGGGGGGATTCCCTTCTCCTTCCACCACGCAGGGAATGTTCCAGAAGACGCCCCCCACGCGCGCTCACCAGCCAGGAGAAGCAGGCACAAAAGGCCGAGTCCCCACAACGGCTTCATCTCGACGGTGCCCAGGATGGAGGGAGGCAAGAAGAACGCTCCACACCTGCCTCCTACGCACTTCGAAGAGCGATCAATTGATCGATACCACCACCCTCCCCTTCCCTCCGGGAACAACTCTACAGACTTCAAGGCTTGAGCCACTAACCAAGGCCAGCCCGACCCCCAAGCTTATCACTACCACACGCGGGGGGCGGGGGAAAGGGCCTCTCGGCCGCGCCAATCGGAGCGCACCACGCCAAACACGGAGCCAATAGGAAGAGCGGAGGTGGAGGGTGGAGCTACCTTCCGGCCAATCGTCGTCTTCCAGGTGAAGTTTCCCGGCGCCAAAGCGTGGCTGGGCTCCATTGGTTGTTGCTATGCTCAATGGCCAACCACGGTTAAGGGCGGGAGTAGTGGGCCTTGGTTTGACTGTTCCCCATTCATTTTTTTAAATATAAGTGTCTTGGGCTACGTTACCAACAGCATTTGATAGTAAGTGCGAGATCGGGCTTTATTTAAGAAAAATAAGACACGCATGTTCCATTTCTTCTCCCAGAACTTTCCAGAGAGCTAGCAAAAAAAAACAAAACACGTTTCTATGACGACGTTAATTTCCGCTTTTCTATACTCCACGACAAACGGAAGCGAAGGAAGTATTATAGAGCAGGCAGAAATTAGCAGAAACATTTTTATGCCACGCAATTTTTCCTGCCTTTGAAGCTGGTGACCCAACAGACAAAGCATGAAATCTAAATTTTAAGAATTATTTTTTTGAAAGAAACTGCAACTTTTCCAAACTTGCCACGCTCCGCAGCCTCGCGTCTTAAGTGCCTTGATCTTCCGGATGACGTCACGTTTGTCTTTCATGTTGGGAACCGCCTTCGTGTGTTGCATGATGGGAATTGCAGTATCTTCGTGTGAGAACGGGCTTGTGGCTGTCATTGTGCAGGGTGGCGGGGTGATGGGAGTTGTAGGCCACATCTGGAATGCATCAGGTGGGCTTATCCCAAAAATACTTTATGAGCCACCTGAAGGAATGAGCAGTTTGAGGTGTTCGGCTATGAACTGGTTGTTATTGTTATAACAATAATTTACATCTTACCTGATTAGCCCCCTGAAGTGGCTTCCAAATAATGTAAGTACTTGTAAATAAAAATGCAATAAATATTGTTTAAACACTTATCAAACTTCTAGGTTCTATCCCGCAGGACATTTGGTGATAATAGTCCTGCAGGAAAGGGGATAGAAAAGAACAGGTGAGCTGTGGTGGTTGCTGCCTTCCTTTAAAAATATATACTGGTGCTGAAACCCTTGATCTTTGTTGTATAGCAAGCATATTAAAGAAGTTTGAACACCCAGTAGTGCTTTTTCAGTTTCCAGGTTGCTGACTTGAAAACAATGTTATCTGAACTGTGTTTATCTGAAAGGAAGGTGGCACTGTATTTAAGGTAAGCATGCTTAAAGAAGAAAATAGAATAGGAAAAAAAATCTGCCTGTATTACAAGTTTCTGATTGTATCGAAGACTCCAGTCACTCAAAGACTGAGTGAATCAAAAACTGTTTTATAGGTAAATTAATTGGAACAAAATAGTCTTCCCTTCTGATAAATATAGTATGTTAAATTTTAGGAGCTGGTGCTTCCAGACTGAGGATTCCTAGCTACTAACAGAAAAGCTTTATGGGACTGTATTTCTCCTCCTTTATGAATCTTTTGTTTGTAAGAAAAAAAGAAACAATGGAATAATACAGATCTACTCCCAGCTCTATTATTTAGTAAAATGCGGCTGCAGAAGCTGGAAGTTACAGCAAAATTCGAAGAATTGCCTGCTCTGCATCCTCTAACCCAGCCTACTACCCCCACTGATGGTAAACACTCTGTTTCCAGATATGGAAGGGAAAAACATACCATTTGTGAATTGTAACAAGCCACATTATGCCTTGAGTCACACCTTCAGGACAGGATTACAAATGGAAGATGGCATCCATATTTGAGGCAAGACAATTTTATAATAAAAGCCTGATTTGGAAACATGGAAGAGGATGAGATATCCAAGAAATAAATCTACAATGTTAATATCTTTCTGTCTCTCTTTCTCTGAGCAGAAAGCCTTCTTTTCATTTATATTTTGGCCTGTTTTACATCCACAGATCCCATGAATTGTACTTATCGTAAGTATATTTTCATATACAATGTCATACCTCATTAAGCAGAGAATTTAGTTTGGTGGGAAATAAAGAATTCCTGTCTCTCGAACTTCACTGAAAAATATCCACTTGTCTGCTGTAAAGCCCTAAAATGAATATTCTTCCTATATGTTATACAAAAACTTGTTTGAATCATATAAACATTGATAAGATTTACTCAGATGTCAAAGATTTCAAAATTAAGTGTAAACTTGCAAAGTGATTAAAGCCAAGTTTTATATAATCGTAGTATTACACACCAATTCAGTATACATTATCAATTTGTAAATATGAGTTAGGATCCAAATAGCTTCTTTTGTTAAGCTTATGCATACCTAGGAAGATGGGCAAGATATCTACTTAGCTAGATGGGCAAATTATAATGTGTATCTTTTATAGTTCTATAAAATAATGTTATCTGGTATAAAATGTTATACAAGTGCTGACTGCACAATTCTCTCTTCTCCGCAACTTTTAAACACAGAAACGTTTTGCCTGTATTTGAATTTGTGCATCCGGATTGTGCTTTTCTTCCTTTCAATAGCAAATTCGTACAGCCAAAATATCAAGTGTAGTGGTTTCATGAGAAATCACTGTGTGGGAAACACTAATCCACCATTTCTCTTCAGCCTCATGGAACTGGAAATGTACAGAATCACAGAGAAGGGAGCATTCAGGTCACCCTTTTTCAGTTTAAGAATCCAAATTAAACCATCTCTAATAAATGCTCACCCTCTCCTTAATGTTATCCAGTGAAGGAGAAAAACTTCACCTTCCTTGATATTTGGTTCTACTGTTAAACTCCTCTTAAAATTAGTATCTTTTTATTAATATTCCCCTGGCATGTGCTTACTTGCAGTTTAGACTGTTACTGCATGTTCATTTCTCTGGCACAATACAGAACAGATCTTGGCCTTTGAGAGTTTCACATTCCTTTGGATTCTTAAAGTGCCAACAGTCTTCTCTTTTCAAGGCAGAACATGACGGGTTTTCTCAGTCTTTTTAAAATAAGACTCTGGTTTCAGTCCCCAGATCATCCACTGCACCTGTTCCAGTTTCTCTGAATTTTCTTAAAATACGGTTGTGTAGGAATGGATCTTATGGGAGCTGAATCTGATCATGCTGAATCTGATCGTGAACCTGAGTATGTGGAAGTTGAACCTGGATATGAAGACGTGTGGTGGGCTGGCATATGAGAATGTGTGCATCTGTGACAGAAACTGTATTCAGTGTTCTTGTCGAGAGTGATGTATTCCTTCCCAATGACATGCCCATGCAATTTTTAAAGGTAGTTATGTGCTTTATGGCTTCTTTGTAACCCCCTTGCTTGCCCCCTTGCTTGTTTTTGTAATCTTTTAGCTTTTAATATAACTATATCATTTAGTGATTTTATTGTATCCTTGAAGATAAAAATAACTGTATGATTTGTGATTTCCTTGATCCGATAGCAGAGATGGAAGAGACCAGCTGTGGTCAGCCTGGTAAGGGGTCATGGCTTGGACAACTGACAGAACATACAAGATCTATAAGCCTGTAATGTTATTATCCTGATAGGATAAGGGGAAGGGGTTGGGGTTAAGATAAGTTTAAGATAGATAATGAGTAGTAATTAATGTATAGCAGGAGGATGTTGTGAAGGACAAG